AGCTGCAGAAATTTCGCATTTTCACAAACGCGCGCGAACCATACGGTTGTACACGAACAAAAGCAAAACCGGAAGGAAACAAACGATTTGAATCGGAGTTACAACGAAACGGTTCAAATTTGTCGTGAATCGGCAACGATGCATTATCCTGCAAATTCGAAGCGGAAAAGAACAAGAGAACCTCGGCACTTCAGAGTTGGGCAACAAGCGATCCGATTGATGATTAACACGTTCCGTGCCGAGCTTTTTTTACTCGAATCTTCACACTTTGATATTTTACTAAAACTTGATGTATTACGTGCAATTATTAATTCTCGTACACATAACAACGTAACAAAAACTTATCAACGCCCGTTCTTGCAGTGGAAATTGATTCTTCGGTTCTAAATTTCTTGTAAACAATTTGTTCAGTTCACTAAGTAAACATGCAAGCGTGTACCATCGATGGTACACGTGGCACGGAACGTGTTAACGATTACAACCGGTCAGTTGTTACAAGTAATTTATAAATTAGCTTCTGCTTCTGAAATTTCAAAAGCAAAAAAAAGGGGTCGCAGAGAGGCTAAACGATTCGAATGGCTGTAGGTGAGAAAACAAATTGTTTTGCGCGATTCAACGATCGGCGCGAACTATTCCCGCCGCGACAGCTCCGGAAACTTTTTGAACGGTCGATCAATTATCAAGTGCGGCGATTAATTTTCCGGTAGGAAAATGGGTGCGGGGGTGGGGGACGGGGGCAGCGGGAGGTAACCGATCTATCGCAGAAAATAAATTCCTAGTAGAGATCGCAGCCAATCGACTTCTAATACACCGTTCCGGCGTTCGCCGCGATATTGATAGCGCGTATAATTATTTCCGTGCATCAATCTGTGGAAGGCCGACCCGCAGATTGATCGCGAGCATAAATCCGACAGCAAATGAGCCCGAGACAGAATTAAAGCTAATAAACGGACTCGGCATAATTGCACGTAGGCTATGAGTTATAACATCAATCCCTCTGACGCAGGAACAAGCGTGCTAATAAGTGGTTGCGAGCTTTTTGCTCGTTCGCCGGTCTACAACGGCCGCGAATGCTCGATGGTGGCGTAATACGTGTCACGAGCTTGCTACTTGGGTGGATAACACCACCGTGGAAGGGAACGAGGACCAACAAGAAACCGAAGGAAACGGCCGTGCGCACAGGGCCGTGTAATTACACCGTTCTGAAAAGTTTCTAATACCGTGAATTTACAGCCAGAAGAATTCCACGATCCGGCGACCGCCGCGCGCCGGTCCACCGGCTGTGATTTACGTCGCGGATTTCTGATCTGGTATTCCGTCGAGGAAGCGCGTCGCGTACTTTGAACTTCCGCAAACCTCTGCTGTCTGGTAAACTGCAACGGTATCCTTAGAATTTGCGTTTTTCATCTTCTCGGAGCGAATCGAGGGTAATTCAAAAATAGATTTCTATTCTTTTAAGCGAATCTCTCTTCTCAAAAATACGTTCGAAAACAAGTTACTAAAATTTTGAATTCAAATTCGCGAAGATAACGAAGTAACGAGTCGTTCAATGCGATGTGACGTAGGAAGCAATAAGCGTGTACACTACCGCTCAAAAGTATGTGGACACTTTCTTAACTCTTACTACTATCTAAAAAAAAATTATCATGTATGATAATTTTCATGTAATATCACATAATTATCATGTATGATAATTTTTTTCGGTTTGCACAATATTAGAGATCGCATTTAACCAATAATTAATCGAATAACTCATCCATAATAATGAAAAACAACTGTATCTTCTCATAGATATAGCCGCTGTCTGCTTTTATAACCGCATTTACTAGTCGTGGTATTTTTACTTCATTGCTTCACTCCGATTGTAAAACGTGCCATAAATCTTTTCAAAAATAAATGTTTTGATAAATGTCTTTTTTTTTTTAATTTTTTTCTTGCATAAACTTTTACTTATTTGAAGGATTTAAATGCTTAAATTGTTCAATTTGATGTTATCAAGATGCATCACATATACGTGCATTACCAATAGAATTTAGCAATTTAATAACAATAATACACATTATATTTCGCAGTTTCTATAAAATTGGTAAGCGTCCACATATTTTTGAGCGCCAGCGTGAACTCCAAACGCGCTTTTCTCGAGACCATGTTTCCGAACCTAGTGTACACGATAACTGGACTGCGGATTTTATGTATTTATGGCAAAAATAGATGGGTGAAATGATTAAAAATAATAAGGACTGTCGATCTGTTTCTCTTATTGAAACCGTTGACTTATTAAATTATTTAAGAAAGGAACAATGTTGCACCGGTCTCCTATGTCTTGCAATCGATGCAGACATATTCATTTGACATAAAAATCCGCGGTTCAATGATAATTCAAAAGGTAATTGACCAAATTTCGTTCGTCGACAAAAAAATTCCTTGTTTTAAAAATAAAATGAAAATGCTGTCGACCCTCGTTAATTTACCTGCGTTTCGTTGCAACTTACGAATTCGCGCGTACCATAAAAATGCATCGAAGATCCACGTGGTGTGAAGATAAAGAACGAAAATAGATAAAATTACTAAAAGAGACGTCCCCTACATTCCAGCACAGTCTAGACAGTTTCAATGACTCGATTAATTACGATATCAAATTCTAGACCCCCAAGAAGCGTCTGCAGGCGAAAAAGATCGGACCTAGAAGGAATGCGGGTCCTATTGGCCCCCTCTTTGTACTGTCAGCCCACATATCATTCGTTGCTACATGTATACCGAATTCTGTGGCGCAGATCTTTACCAAGCCGGCCGTGCGCTAATGGGAGCTGAAAAGTTCGGGTCCGGAGGAACAGAGCGTCTTATTGATCAGAATGTATTGGCTCCTCTTCAAGCCGAATTCTCATTACATATTCGTTAATGCGACCGGTTGCCATCCGACGCGCGACGTCAGGTCATCGTTAAAATATTCCTTGGCCAAGTCCGCGTGGCATTCGCGCCGCATAGAGCGGCTCCTTTGATGAGCAGGCGCGGCGGAAGCTACTAACGGATCCGTGCAAACCAACTTTGTATGGAAAACGATCGAGCTAAATGGTAATCGACCGCTGCTAAATCTGACACGCGTCTGTCGGTTTGCCGTTAGCCAACTTAATCGGGCTGTCGGTTCCGTGGTCCGTGAAAACTGCAGTTCTTCCAGGCTCTCTATGCCCTTTAGGCGAAACCATCGGCGAACGCTTCGCTGGTTTTACCGCTTCGTCAACCAGATAGGATTAAACCGCAGATTCTACGCATTTATGGGAAATCGACGGCAACTTGTCGAAATTGGTCAGATAAGTGTTGTAGGTACACAAGTAGATTTCTATTTAACTCTCGGACGGCGGACCATTTGTGCACAACTGTACTTTCGACGATGCTTGTAACAATTCTGAAGTTTTATTCAACAATTTCGTACAACATATCTCCAAAGATATTTCTTGCAGTCTCGTTATTAGACTTTCTGTTGCTCCTAATGCATTAGGTTGGGGAATGAGTTCGTAGCGTTTTTATATTTTCTTCGATTTTACAACGATCTTTTGCTGTTCGACAAAGTGTATAATATTCGTTCGATAGAGCTCTCTTTCTGCTCTACAAAACTGTGCTGATCGTCTTTTTGAGTAATTTAATTTTTTATTACTTTCGAGGCTTAGAAATGGAATATCCAGGAGGTAAAAAGCAACATTTTCGACACCTTCTCTTCTTCGCTTCTCATCGAGGCCAAAAAGCTGCCGAAGCAGCCCGGGACATTTGCAACGTACGCGGAGAAGGTGTCATAGGCGAGTCTACAGCACGGAAATGGTTTGCGAAGTTCAAAAATGGCGATTTTGACGTCGACGACACGCCCCGCAGCGGAAGACCTTCTGAATTCGACGAAGAGCGTCTCAAAGCACTTTTGAAGGAGGACGGTCACGAAACAAGTCGTGAAGTGGCCGAAATAATGAACTGCGATCATAAAACGGTTCTCGATCATCTTCATTCGATGGGATTTGCCGAAAAATTGGGAGCCTCGGTGCCTCACGAGCTTAACGAAAACAATAAAGAAAATCGCCTTCAAATTGCTTGATAAAAACGCTACGAACTTATTCCCCAAACCAATAACAGCGATGTATTTTATTTAATTGCCGAAAATTTAATAACTCAGCGAACGATTCAAATACTCTCGGCCAGGATTGACCCAGCCATTGCCTTGCGAGGATCGACTACTATCATTGGCAACTGATGAAAACTTTTACACTAGCTATAAATCTGCAGCGTATAACAATTTTTGTTATTTATTTTATCGATATAGCTTATTTTTAATTAGAAAATCGATTGCGTCTTATTCGATAAATATAAAGTGGCACGTAACTAAACTGGAGGCACAGCGATTGGTCACCCCGCAGCAAAAAGGAATCTGATTAATGATCAATGATTATAACTCGCTAGTTATTATACAGTTTTACGAATTATTTAAACAACTTAGTTCCTTATCGAATAAGATATATTGAATTTTGTTTATTCTTTTATTTTCGTTCATTTCCAATAAAACAATCGTAAATTAGTCGTAACAATTAACCAGTTATAATTGTTAATCGTTCTTCGATAAAACAGTTAATAAATTATCATAGAATACTTATAACAAACAACGAGTTATAATCGTCGGTCATCCTAATCAGATTACTTTTGTGTTCGTGTTCATATTTACAAAAAAATTCCGCGTACATTTTTACAGACTGTATACTTCAAAAATCGTATTTTCGCCGAATTTGTTGAGAATAGGCACGGTGGTAGTGTGCGGCATTGTCGTCGGATTTTCACGGGATGGGGAAGCAGTCGAGGAGATCCGAGGATACGCGTGGGTAGTATCAGAAGGCAGACGCGAGAGCTAGCGACGCGAACTCGCGGCCTAGCCATGAATCAACAATTACACACGGGGTCTCTCACCTTAATCGGTCGGGAGAGGTTGCCGCGAACAAAAATCTCGGGACAAGAGGAGGCTTGCTTACCTGCTGTGAGTTTTTGTTAGGCGCGGTTTCCGGGCATTCCGGATCCGTTGGGTCGAGGCACGGCTTGCTCTGGTAGCCATTCGTTATCCCGGCTCGCTTCATGTAATCCTCCAGAGTTTTGAAGGGAAACACGAACTGTTTCTTCATCTCGTCCAGCATACCAGTCGGATTGAGGTTCGTCCACTGGATCGGCTTGTTCGTTTGCGCCCCGCTGTCCACGGGAACCATACGGAAGGGAAAAAATGAATACGTTACGAAATTTCATGAACGAACCCCGGGTTCTTTGCCCCCGGGACCGATGATTGACTTAATGCGATCGCGGCGATGCTCCTGCGACCACTCCGGCAAGGTTTACGAGACGATTGTCGCTAGACTGAGGAACTTTGTGCCGCACGAACGTCCGAAAAAAAGTGCTGTCGCACCGCGGATGATCTCTCCGGAGGCTCTCTAGACCGCGGATTTTATGCATTTATAGGGAAAGAATGTCAAAGTAAAACGTAAAATAGCGGTCAATTTAAAAGACACTGAAACTGCTGATCTATTAATTCCGACTTATTATAATTATTTAAAAAAGGAACAACGTTGCACTTGGCTCCCACGATTTGCAATCGATGCGGACAATTTTTATTTAGGGTAAAGATCCGCCAGTATACTCGTCAGAGACCGAAGAGAATGTTTCGGACAGAGATTTTGATGTGAAAATAATATAAATATATAATTATTTGTGAATCCTTTAGGTTAATTCGAATTAAACGAAACACAGCTTTTCAAAGTAGAGTTTCCTTCCATTAAAAACATTCTCATAAAAATCGACTACAGATCTTTTTCACGGTTTTAAACGATCTCATTATAACGATATTATTTAGGCGAGTTTAAACATTCGTCTCTGTGATATCGAGTGCAAAGAAATTATGTCGCAGTCGACCTTCGGGGTTTCCGTCTAAAAATCATCGGAAAAGATATAATTCCGTACAGGAAGAAAATTGAAACGTAACGACCAGGCTCGAATGAAACCATCGAAAACAGATATAATTCCCGCGAGAATCCAAGAAACTTCAAAATTAGGCATAAAAGATTTAAAGCTTGCGTTTAACGGCAAAAATTGCTCAGGTTCCGCGACAAACTAACGAAAGCCTCCGATGATAAATCGGCGTTAAACACGGCGAATGTTTTCGAAGGGGCATAAAAACGTCGCGATGGTACTTCGATCGATCCCCGTAAATTTCGTCCGAATCACGAGCAAGATGAAACGCGTCGAACGCGAACCTGCGGGTTCCGCCGTTTGCATCCGGGCCGCCTAATTGTATACCGGCGGTGATGGTCCCGGCGCGGTGCATCTATGTTGCAATTAAACGCGTTCTTCCTGCTCCGAGCAAACGATCCGAAGTCCTCGTCGACGAACGAGAAGATCTCGAAACTCGGAAATCAATTCGCCAAATCTCCGTTCGCGAGACGGAGGAGACTTTCGAAGTAGCCGCGACGCGACGCGACGCGACGGATCGGCGGCCACGCGATAAGATCGTTGATAGGTCTCGTAATTTGCAATCGGATCGGATAATACTTTTTCTTGTACTTACGGTATGTGGACGGGATACTCCGGTCCCAGGAGCTTGCTGCCTTCCCAGAAACAGTCGAGGGGCGTAATGATGGCGCACGGTATGATACTATCGAAGATCTAAAAACAACGGTTCCCGTCAGCTCGCCCCGGAGGAATGGCTGTGTTCCCGGTGTAATTGAAAAATTACGCGGCGGGACCCGCACCCCGGGCCCCGGCCCGCGATATAATCGATTTAGCGAGTTCCTCGATTAACGAACGATCGATCGCCGGCAGATTACGTTCGTATCGGGGCGACTTAATACAATTTTCGGCTGGATGCCGGCTCCGATGATAATTATTATGATTCCGGGGCATTTAATCATCGTCGTCGCTTAATGGCGAGCATGGGTACCCTCTCTCTCGCACTCTCTCTCTCTCTCTCTTTTTCTCTCGCTCGCTCTCTCTGTCTCTCTCCCTACTCCGACTCCGATTTACGATTATTTCTCCTTTTCTTCCGATAGTGGACACTAACGATCGCCATAAGGTTTTTCTTGGTAGCGAGAGGCATTACGACCGGCCACCTGTGTGTTCTCGGAAACTCGAATAGGGCGGTCCTCCGCTTCAAGCGTCTCCCTTTTTTTCGGCCCTTTCCGATTCACGAATAATACGAATTTCGGATAGTGTTCGGGGAACGCCGCGGACATTTGTCAAATTGTCCTTCCGATCCCTTCCCGAAAAAAAAGACAAGTCGACCCGTAGCCCCCTAATTCGTTTTCGGCGGGCCCCTCCGAGATGATGCGTACCCCTCCCCGCCCCAGCCGCTCCTAACCGCTCGTTCTTTTGGCACGGCAAACATTTACCGTGGCGCTAATGATTTAATAGATTAATCTGTCGCGAAGAAAAAAAAACGAATCCCGTGAAATCCCGTTTCGACGTCGCACGGTCGGCCGAGAAGCGGTACTTCGTGACGACAATTCAATTTTTCAACTTTCGTATCGGAACAACATTTGTTTCGCCACGGTCAGGGGCCGAACGATGAGATACCCTATCAATTTGACAATTTTTATTTAATACCGAAGCTACCAAACTAGCCAAACTGACCGGTTTTCAACTTTTTCCTTTTTTCACAGCTCCTGATATTATAAAAATATTTCTAGGAGAATTTGTTAGAGACACTTCTTTATTCGAGTATATATTATGATATAAATCATACGAAGTTTAAACAAATTTTGGCATTGTTATAAAAAAACAATATACATTAGTCGCGTTTAAGCTCGGTGGTCCCAGTATTAATGTACAGGGTGTCATGTAACTGGTGATTCGACGTCAAAAAATAAATCGAAAATATAGAATAAATATTCTTGATTCGGGAGAAATAATTATTTTTTAGAATTTTCCGTGGGTTATTCGAGAAGAAGCGAGTTTAATCGTACGCTCCACAAATCGTTGCAGAAATTGAAAGATTGAAAATTGAGTAATTTAATCCTACTGGAGTGAAAAGTGTATCTTCCTATGAATCTGCGAGGATAAAATAAGTTCGCTGCGTCGAACAAAGTTGCATTTTCATCTGCGATGTTCCAGATTCGTTCACCGTCGAGAATTGCAAGAATTGTAAGTAATTTCGATTTAATCGAGGTCATCTTTAATTATCCATCGAAGAGAAAGTAAACATGTTTCTCTATGAATCGTCGAACGAAGAATTGTCGTTCGTCCAAATTATCGAAGAGATTATCTTTGTCGACCAAGTTGCTGTTCGTACAAATTGTCAAAGAAATTATCCTGTCGAACGAAGATTGCACGAATTGTCGAAGAAATTATCCCGTCTAACGAAGATTGCATGAATTGTCGAAGAAATTATCCTGTCGAACAAAGTTGCTGTTTATACAAATTGTCCGTGAAGCTATCCTGTCGAACAAAGTTGCTGTTTATACAAATTGTCCGTGAAGCTATCCTGTCCAACAAAGTTGCTGTTTATACAAATTGTCTAAGAAATTATCCTATCGAACGAAGTTGCTGTTCGCACAAACGTCGCTGATATCTCCCACACTCGTTAATCGAACCGAAATTGCCGAAATCGAACCAATTAAACTTGGAATTAAATAGACAGAGAATGGAAAAACAGTGAAGCGTTCGACAATCGTTGATCGGCGATACACGCTGTTATCGATCGGTAGAATGTTGATACACGATCCGTCCAAATCGGAAACACTTTGTATCGGAATTTTTAGTGCCCTTTGAACTCCGCTGGGCGATACATTGTATGGGTAGTACATTTATACCGGGAATCTTATTGTTAGAAATAAGCGGGAAGGTCGAGAATAACTTCTGAAGCTTTTATGGGGTAATGAATCACTCGTAATTTATGACACACTAAATTTCTCGCAGTTTAAACGCCCTTAAAGGATCATGCGTGGAGGTGTGCAGCGTAAGTTTCGGACGCGGGGAGACAGCTTCGTCGAAGGGTCGTTCCTAAGGCACTGCAACCGCTTATGCAGCAACGCTTCTCTGCATACCGTGCCCTGTGCAGTCGAGCATCCTTCGCCGCGTCGCGTTACCCAGTTCTACTTTCGGTTGCATGCAAATCTCCGTTACTTCTGTCACTACAATTTTTCGGATCTGTCGTTCCAATGATTATCAATTCGCTTGTCGATCGATCCAAGATGAAGTTCTAAGCTCGTCACTGGACCGCGGACTTTCGACTGTTACGACTGGACAATTAACTGGTATCAATTATCTCGTAAGAGCGAGATGATCCGATTTATATAGATTCGATAGTTTTTATAGTAGTATATGAAAGTGTCTTTAGGGATTTTTATGTTTGTAAAATGAGAAGCCGGCAATTTGACTTTTTGACTTCTATCAGAAACGCATAAAATATACGTTACTTTTTCTCGCGTATTATGCATATGCGATAAATGCACGCGAATCGTGACAATATAACGATAAGAATCGCTGGCTCTAAAACGGGGATAAACTATAATTTTGCATTAAGTAATGCCAAATAAATGAGCGATAAATCCTCGGCCGAGAGAGAAAAAGAGGAACGAACGCGCACCGCACAGAAGTCCGTTCCGTGACGGCGCGGCGTAAGAATAATAACTCCCCCGGCGATTCATAAGTAAGTATAAATCGTTCAAGATAGGGCCGCGATATAAAGGATGAAAAATTCATACGTGGCAAAAGTGTAACAGCTTGTAGCCAGCTGCAGGATAATAATATTCCTGTTTGCCCGGGATACAAGACACCGCCGTGTGATTTAGCCGGTTTGCTCGGGGCGCGCAGCGCTGCTGCCCGCATACCAGAACATCTATCATTTGACATTAATTTTTAAATTGAAACTTGATGAATCGCAATGAGATCGGAATTCCGTGGCCAGCTTTGATTGCGCGATTTCGTCGATATATTATGCATCGCCGGCCCGTAATAGCACGCCATTACCGGCGGCTGTGATAACAGAGATTACTGCGCGATAATCAAAACCGAAAAAGTTTCGTTCGATACGCGAAATAAAACATCGACGCACCGGTTGCTTTCAAGCCCGGTTGCTTCTGGCGTATCCACCTTCCATCGGAAAGGTTGAAATTAAATTAGATGAAATTTCGGGTTGAATTTAATTTGCCGGCATCGGCGAAATTCGTCCAGTTTTTCGAACTTGCACGTTTCATGTACGATGTTCAAGTGATAACATAGAATTGAGATTTACGGGCTCGCGTGTTATACGATGTGATTGTATGCTAAAGGGGCTTGGAAGAATTGGTTTCATCCCTTGTAGAAATACAGTTAAACGACCCGTGCGTACACTCGCCGACAAAAGTTAAGAAACTTTAAATATCGTCAACGTGTGAATAAAATTTGATACTTTAATAGATATAAGTCTTATCAAATTGAGAATACATACTTTAATCAAGCATGTGACACGTTGTTTTATCCAGTGGATGCGACAAATAAGAAAAATAATAGAAATCTTAAAAATTAAGGAAAGAATAGAAAATAAAACGAAAATAATAAATTAAAAAATTATAAAAAGATAACATCAATATTTTCGCCGACGCAATGCTAATCTTTATGTAACATGTTTCTTAAGTTTTGTTATAACGCAAGGGGTCAACAGGCTCCTAAATCATTGTCAAAGGATTGAACGGAACGAACATCGTCGCACGGCGAGTTAAGTTAAACAAACGCAGAATATTCTCCAAGTTTTCGTATTGCTTCTAACAAATTTGTTCACCGCGTCGCAGCTCGGGTCTTTTCGAACCAATTAGCACCGGAAACGAACGGTCGATCTGGAAGCAGCGAGCTCGCCGAATCGATGATCGGAGTCAGAAAATCGCGGGAGGAAGCGGAGAGAACTCGTTCCCGGGAGAAAAAGTCAAACCGGAGCATAAAATCGGCTCGTAACGTCGCGGAAGCGGCGGTATCTTTGATTTGGTCCCATCACTATATGTACGTGTACGTGTACGCTTAGCGATGTTTTAACGTGTCCGCTCGTTAGCGGCGCAAGAAACGGCGCGGCACACGTGAACGGACACGCACGACTTATAACCGTATCTCACGGCGGTACAAAGCCGCGGGTTTTCAAGCATTGTATTGAATTTTCGACGTTTACGACCGCGCGCGAGTCGTCCGGGAACGACGTGGTGACTGGAAAACGAGAAACAGAGGACTTCGAGGATACGAGAACCTCTAGCGATGGGTACGACCTCGGACGACCTAACCCAGATCCCTATCCGGCACCATTCAAACCTTCCGTACGGTCGACGAGGATTTCCATATGTTCGGATTGTGTGTCCGAGATGCGAAGTGAAAAGCAACCGGACTGTCACTCGCTTTCGATACTACCGCCTTTAATTGCTTCCACACATGCAGACAACGCGACAAGCCGGCCAGGATTTGTGTAACAAATTTTTGGTATTAGTTCCATGCGAGCTTTTAATTCCTCAACGTCGGGACCGTACAAATAAGACTACAGTAATGTCTCTGTAATTGACGCTCAGATTGTCCACAAAAATAGACAATTTGGGAAGTGGAGATACGATTATTCGATCCTTGCGGTTCATTTTTATAGTCACGGATTGTCGACAACTATAAAAACGAGATGGAAGGCACGAATAATCGTATCTCCTCTTCCTAAATTGTACATTTTTGTGCGCAGTCTGAGCGTCGGTTAGGGAGACATTACTGTAGTTCTGTCTAAATAACGTATCGCAATATATACTATATAATAATAAATTGTAATTTTTGCCTTGTAATTTTTTACCGATACATTTACACGATAAGAATGTTACGTTACTGCTAAAATTTTAATGTCCAAATGTTAATGTTATGAAGATTATAACATTATTTTTGTATTCGTGTATAAAAGGTACATGTATTGGCCAGTATTTCATACGGATCCCGTCGTTGAGGGGTTGATTCGACGAGCTGTTCAAGATTCTAGGGAGGTGAAAATGAAATGTTAATTAATGAATGAATAAAATGATTTGAGGAAATTTCTGAAATTGTAGATCGTGGGAAAGTGTACAAATACATGTATCGTATTGGACGGTCAATCGAAATTAATGGATTTCGTCAACTAAAAATACTTTTGTAAAATTTCCAAGGGGCTGCAATCTCGTCTTTAACAATGTCAAATTAAACCAGAAATTTGTACAGTCCATATTTTGATCCATATTGTGATATGAATATTAACATTCTGCTTTGAACAAAAATTGTATAGACAGACATAAATGACATTATAACGAAATTATTGTTAATGAAGAATCAAGAAGAAATTTTTTTTCACCTTTATCAATATTGTAGAGAAAATTGTTAGTCTCTCGTAATGTTCATGGAAACATGTTTTAATTTCTATGTATAAAGATGAATACACATGGAAAAATGTTCTTTTCAGTTTAATAATAGAATCAATGTATGTAATGCAAAATTTCACAATCCGAGTTAAACTTTACTGATCCACCTTATTGGAGAAGAAAAATGCTTACACTATATACTAATCATGCTAATCTACCATAGCTTGCAAATCAAGTGTCTGAGTCTAACTGCTCTCTCTCTCTCTCTCTCTCTCTCTCTCTCTCTCTCTCTCTCTCTCTCTCTCTCTCTCTCTCTCTCTCTCTCTCTCTCTCTCTCTCTCTCTCTCTCTCTCTCTCTCTCTCTCTCTCTCTCTCTCTCTCTCTCTCTCTCTCTCTCTCTCTCTCTCTCTCTCTCTCTCTCTCTCTCTCTCTCTCTCTCTCTCTCTCTCTCTCTCTCTCTCTCTCTCTCAAATTTGCCCGACGATACGCTAAACTCAATCCTTAAAAAACTGCCCGACATTTTGGAAGAAATGTGCGAAGAGAACGAACGAAAGGGTTGAGAGATCGAAGGATCGAGGACCGATGAGAGTCGATCGTAGCCATCGCTATGCCCCAGGATTTCCTAATAGAAATCGGGGAGTCACGGTGCGTGCGCAATAACGCGGTATCGTAGTTCACGCGTCGAATTCGCGAACAGCGCGGAAACGTGTTCGCACACATGCTCGCCACGCGGTTACGTATCACCTACGTAGAAAGTAGTGGTAGTTTTAAATTACCTGGTCGATGTAGTGCATGTCGAAGTTGGGTATGTTCAGCGCGTAACACATGTCTTTCAGCCTCCACGTGCTGCAAGCGACACGGAACACATGCATTCATGAATACAAGTTTGCATCCCCTTAACCCCCGCCCTGTGCAGCCGGCGATAAGCGGCCCGAGAAGTGCTCTCGAGAAAAACTCGAGACGATCGCTACGTCTCGCTTCTACGAGCCGCTTTCCGCTCCGCCGTTTACCCCTTGAACGCTACCATGAGATGTTTAGTTTACTCTGTCGCGTATATGGCAATAAATCTATGCAGCGAAACAATTAATCGGTCCATTTTCGTGGCGGTCTTTTTGTTCATTGAAATTCTCTTCGCAATCCGGTGAAGATGAAGTTGACACGAAGCTTCGAAATTGCTTGTAAATAATTGTTAAGGGTAACATATCGATATCTTATTGATATCTATTGATATCTTTCATTTGCTTAAAAAATTTTACGAGTTATTGCAAATAAGTTTGGAGAAGTAATTGCTTTATTTATATCAATCTCGATTTCGATATTTATACCATTATTAAATCTTAATAAATTTCCGTCGAATGAATTTCATTTATTAGGTCAACGTACTTATTAGAATATTAATTCTATCGTCATATAATTCTATCGTAACTTGGAGGACTGTTAATCGAATACCTCTATACAATTTTTACAATCACCTATTCTCTTGTTTTATCGTCCATACAAAAATTATTACTTTGGTCAATGAACTCGACAAAACACGTATTTTGAAAATATTATATAAACATAAATTTATATAGATTGGACACATAGAAGACATATCGAGGAACTAATGTCGCATTAAAAGGAAGTTAAATTTACCCATGGTAGCGTTTAAGGGTTGCAGAATATTAGTAAAATTTGCAAGAAAGAGGGAGACTCGCACGAGTTTCAAAAGAATACGAATTCTGATCTGGATATACCGACTATGTAGTGGAATGCGGATTTTACGTACTTTTTTAGCATCCTTGATCTCAGAAAAATCGGCGCGAGTAAAAAACGTTTGGAAGAACGTCGAATTAGTTCGCGCGGCGCGCGTTGTAGATTCTGCAACTGATTAATTCGTTACAATGCAAATAATTGTCGGGCGATTTCCCGTCTGGAAACGGTAACGGTAACACGGCTAACGAGATATTAAATCGCCGTAATTCGAAGTTAAGTGCACCGATTGCTACCACCCGGACTGAAAGTCACGGAAACTCGTTGCGCAGACCTCATCAGCCGTCCTCTTTCTTGCGGACGCATCATCGGTGTTCCCGCAAGAAACCAGAATGATGAAAGGAATATAAGAGGCTGAAAAAAAAGGGAACGGGAAGAGAGAAGAAGAAGAAGAAGAAAGCTTACATTTCGAACAGGTGTACGGTGACCTGCGTGGCCGCCTTCAGGATCGCTAAGTGTTCCTTGAGCGCGGCAGGATGCAAAATATTCGCCCCGGAATGTCTCGGCGTTTGGATCACCAATTGATGCGTCGACGCTGCAGCTTCGCCGAGGGCTTCCGACGCGTAGGTCAGCTCCTTCTGTAACCTTCCGCCTTCTACGACCAACAGAGAACAGAAGAAACACATCGTCAGGACGCTCGCAGATCGTGGCGAACATTTCGATGAAAAATCAACGACCGCGGTCGTTAAAGCATCGGAATACACGATAACGAGATTTTTCTGCGAAGTAAAACGCTGTCTGCGCCCGTTACTAGAAACAAGGGTCGAACGGAAAGCGATTTCTTACGGTGCAAGCAGACACTGCGGATTTTATGTATACTTGACAAGAAAACCAGTGGAAAACAGAAAAGAGAAAAATTCGAAGATAGTTTTATATTGTATGTGTAACTTATTAAAATGACTGCGAGAGGGAAAACATTGTTATCAAACTTACGTTTCTTACAATCGCGACTTGGACTATTTTTATATCGCACGAAAATCCGCAGTCCAGTGACAAAGGCATGATACTTTGAATATTTTCGAATGAAACAGTTATCATTCTGTGATAACATCGGGAAAAATTAAACACCGCATTTCTTCCTTCGTTCGGTACCGATCTAATCTAATTCTTTAATTATACAGGGTGGCCCGACAAGATCCGCCACCTAAATGGCAGTACGTTCGTTTTATCAGGATTTAAAGGGTGCATTGTAATTTTAATAAGTTACAGTGAATACTCATATTTGATCTAGCAGAAAGTAGCGAAGACCTCGCAGGATCTCGGAACTTTGAATTCATGCTTCCGAATGCTTTTTTAATTCGTGCTTTTTCGCTTCCAACGACTCGCATAGAATCCATGGTCTGCCAACGAGATTCAATCTTCGAGACGAAAGGATAATTGGATCGTCGTGTTCGTGATTGAATCGAGGTAGCCCGAAGTGATTAGAAGATCGTGCAAGTTTAGTGCCGTTAGGAGAAATTGATTGGGGGATGAAAGGGTATGCGTCTTCGTCGAGGTTGTTCTTTTTGCTGATTTTTCTGGAATGCCTCGATGGAATGCGGGGCCCGAGCACAGTTGTCTTCCTTCAAGATCGAGACTACCTGCCTTGGGCGACCTGTACCCAAGTCGGGAACAAAGTCGCGAGCACCGTTGTGATTGGCTGGTCGCTTTATTCGCGACTCGTACCACTTTAAGCTTTCGACGGGCTGGCGATGTTTATGCTCGGGACGATTCCCCGAAGAGAAACATCGGCTCCAGGCCCCGCGGTGTCGTAACACACGTTTCTACAGCTTTTACGGGTATACCGAGAAAAATTTCTGGCAACGAACCAATGAAAACCTTCCCAGAACGAGACGTGGAAATAACTTTGTTATGGCTGAAAACGTTCCCAGCCCGGCGATAGGACATCCCCTAACCCCGGTGCTCTTATCTGCACAAGTAAGTCATCTGCTTTTGCAACGCATTTCGAATTACAACGAGAGAGGCACAAAGAAGACTCAAAGGCGACTAGCTTGTATGTTGAAATGTTATGCTAGTTCGACGCGGTTTAATTGTCGGAGCGCTGCACAAAGAAGCAAGAAGATCGTTTGAATCGCTCTATGTTTTAATTATCACGCGATGTTTAGGATCGTGAGATTTTTATTTTTCTTTCTAAGGAAAATGTGCACACTGGTTTGTGTAAATTGTTCAGTTGTACATACCGCGAATTATGTTAAGATCGCGGTATTTCTGCTAGCTCGATGTTTCGCAGACAATGCGAAAAACTGAATAATATGAAGATAAAGAAAATTAACCGATTACGATGTTCCAGGTTAATTCGTTCATGCAGATTTGTATTTAGAAATGCGTCACGAATAATTCATCTATAAATAGGATTTCTTTAGCATCATTCGTTGATAACGTAGGTTTTGTCTTGGATGTAGAGTACCTCGTTCTAAAATTAGCGAAATTTAGTCTGCTCAACTTCCTTTATACGGCGTCATTATTTTTTTGGAAAAGATTTTATCAGCCAATGTTTATGACACTCGAAGCACTGCGAAAAATGGAATGTGTCCAGGTAATGTAAAAATGGGGCGAGTCCAAGCAACGTAAAAATGAGGCGACCGCGGGTAATGTAAAAATTTGGTAATTGCAAGTGACATAAAAATGAAGCGATGAGTTCGCGTAGCGTAAATATTCGATGAGTCCAAATAACGTAAAAATGAAGTGAGTCCGAGTATTATAAGAATAAAACGGGCCCGCATAACGTAAAAACGAAGCAAGTCGTCTAGCGAGGTTGCAAAAGTCTAAGGAATGGAAAAACGAAGCGAGTCCAAGGAACCAAAAAATTGAACGATCCAAGCGATGCAAAGGAATGGCGTGAGTACACACAATGCAAAAAAAAGAAAAAATGAATAACATCGCATAATGCAAAGAACGAAGAATTTCACGCAATGAATTGGGTTGGCAACTAAGTAATTGCTGATTTCAGTTATAGATGTCTCTCACTCCCATTTTTATGATATCCGTAAATGTTATATTATAAAATTATTATTATTATTATTATGTTATTTTTTATTATCCGTGAATGTTGGCAACTGGACAAATTGAATGCAGCGGTCAAGGAAAAGCGACCACAATGCTATAGTTAGCTTGCTGACTTTTTTAACACCCAAGAAATATAGTTCAAATGTTATTTCAGTTTTCTAAAATGACACCAAAGTGATACCACCGGCATACAACAGATAGATTTTGCATGGCACCAGCGTGGTGCCACCGGACGGCATAGTGTTAATAGTGAAACCAATAAAAGGATTAGCTTCAGTCTCAACGAGGAGGTTTTGATAATATATTGGGTTGGCAACTAA